TCCTGTCCTCCAGGATGTTACCCAGCAGTTCTCCAGGGCCTGGGGTTACCGTCTGCACTTCCTGTCCTCCAGGAGCTCGGTATTCCAGACCCTCTTCCCTGGTAGCCTTTCAATCATTTAAAAACTTTTGCACAACATTTCTAGTTGTTTTATGACGTTCTCCTGCGGCTGGAAAGGAAGTCCTACCTGTGGCGTATTCTCCCTCCCAGCAAGCCTTTACTGCAGAGGTGGTCTGCTTTGCTAGATGGTGAGCAGTGCACAGCCTGGAGCTCCTAGCACCTCGTGAGCGTGCCGTGGGTGCAGCTTACATTCTGGCTTTTCTTGTGGGGTGAGTTGGAGTGTCAGAGGTAGCTTACTCTAAGGTGAATGTCATGTGACCAAAGACTGGATTGTAACAATTCAAATATCCACCATCTCATGGGAATTACGAGGAAAGAACCACGGAAAACGGTCGCCACTATGCACACCGCTCCTACAGAAGGGACGTGTCCCTGCAGCACTGGTTTTGGTTTGTGCGTGTGCTGCAATCCTGGGCCATTAGGTTTATGGGTGACCTTTCATCTGGCCTAAAGCCTGCAAGAAAATCAATTGGAGCCTGCAGTTACGTGGGAGCTCTCCCAACCCCACGAGTTATTTCTGAAAATTCAAACAGCATTGTCATTTGAAGCAACACGTAAACTACCACCAATCTGTTAATAAAATAACATTTTTAAAGTGTGAGTGGTGATCTTGATTTCTAACAAGGCAAATTCCAGAATCATTTCTTTCATTTTCTTACTAACCTTAGAAGACACCCAATATTTCTCCATAGATTCTCTTCTTAACACAAAGGCCCTTTTCCCCAGAGACATGGGTGGTGTGATGGCGAGGTCTTGGTGTCTGGTGTGCCCACTGTGCTGGGCCTAGGCTCACCTGTTAAAGCTCCTGTAGTCCTGCAGCTGGGCCTTGCCCTCGGGCTGGAAGAATTTGGGGTGTAGTGCCTCCAGTAGCTCAGGGTCGCTGCCAATGGCCTGCTCCCAGGGAGACTGGTAGTACTTGGGCACGGCTGTGGTGTTGAACCTCTCAGGAGGGATCTCCTTCAGTGGTCCAGAATAGCCTGGGGAGAGCAAGCACAAGGAGCTGGTGCCCAGGGCTCAGCCCCTGCTGGGCCTCCCCTGCGACTTCTCATGCCCGGGTGAAGTCGGGAGGAGGTTGTCCTCTCGTGGTGCCTCGGAGAGCAGCAGTCTGATGCGCTAGACGTGGGATGCTCCTTCAGGCTGTTGGAGCTGTGCCCCTTCCATCAACTTGCAGTGGACCTTAGACCCTACCAATATCTAAAAATGGGGTCTAGGGAAGTGCAGTGAGGACAGAGTCCCTCCTCCCCCAGTGGACCCTGGAGGTGACCTGTCTCGCCACCTGGGCAGTGCAGAAGCTGCAGGAAGGTGGGCCCCTCTCCTCACCCTGGGCGCCCGTCCCTGCTCTACCTTGGTTCTCCAGGGTCTCACCCCCTGTTCTGTGTCTGGCCTTCACCACCCTGGCTCGTGCCTCCCCCAAAGCTACAAGTGTTCTGCAAGTACCATTTCAGAGCCACCAAGGCCACTGTGAGGCCACCTGCCTCCTGGGCTCAGCCGGCCGCTTGGGTCTGCACCTGCCCCACCCAGCCCTGCCCTCAGGTCCTGCCTCCCCAGTTGGTGGCTCTGCTGCGGGCTTCCCGAGGCTCCTCCCGAGCCCTGAGGTGTCTTGCTTGTCTCCATGTTCCCTGGCTCTGAGACAGCAGCCTCCTCTGCTCACCTTTCCTTGGAGGAACCGCCCTAGTCATCACCTGTGAGGGGCCACTCGGGAAGGCTCCAGCCCCCCCCCCCCCCCCCCCGGGCTCGGTGGCTCCCAGAGCTCCTCCTCAGACTATCCACGCTGTCTGAAGGAATCCATCGACACTCATGGCCTTTATTGACCCTCAGATGGACGATCCCAGCTTTGCTTTTGATCTCCAAGCTGCTCTGTTTCTCCAAATGAATGTTTCATGGTACCCCGACCTGACCATGGGTCTGGACCCCAGGCAGCCATTTCTAGATCCGTCATCCGAGAAAATGTGAGTACTGCCCGCAGACGCCACTACAGTGTCACCCTGAACATCCTCATCCTCGGCAGATCACTACCCACTGCACAAAAACAGTGGCCCTCAAATGATTTGCACTTATGAATCACCTGGGCACTGTTTAAAATGTAGGTGGGGTGCAGGTACAGCCCGGGGCTGGGCACTTGCTGAGCACACAGGAGGCCCGGGTTCCATCCCAGCACCGCAGTAAATAAGTAAATGCCATGCCGGTGACTGGCTCCGTCCCCCAGCCCCCTGGCTTCAGGAGGTCTCAGGTACAGCCCACGCGTGTCCAGCAAACACCCACCAGATCTTATGCCGTAGTCTGTGGACAGGACAGTGAGTGCCTTTCCCTCTCCTGTCCACTTCCTGTCCTGCTGCCCAGCTCAGGCCCTCTGTTTCTTGCCAGGGCTCTTGGGACAACCTTCACACGGCTGCTCCACTCTTGGTCCTCTCTCTGCAGGCCACCTCACCCAGCTGCCTGGGTGCCCTTCAGAACCCCAGGTCTGAGCCTCCCCGCTTCCTGCCTGCCCACCTCCTCGCACGCCCCTGCGCTGCAGCCCTCTGCCATCCCTTGGGTCAGTTGTGCCCCCCTGGAAGGTCCTGCCTAATTCTTGTCATGTGCATGCTCCTCTTTGGGGTCTGGCTGAGGCCACCTCTCCTCTGTGGCCACCCCTGTTTCCCAGGGAAGCCGTCTCCCTCCCTGCCTTCACTGGCCCCCACCTCAGTGCTGTGTCCTCCCTTCCTGGGTCACCTGAGGGGGGCCTTGAGGTGCAGCGTTAGGTTTATGAGGCCTGGGCCTTCCTCGCAGACCCCGCCCAACCCGTGCTGTACTTCTGCACACTTTGTCCCTGTTAACACAGCCATCCTGTGACTGTGACCCTAGTGTACAGTCACCTTGAGTTTCATTTTCCTCCAACTGTGTGCAGACGCTTCTGAAGATGTCTACCTCAGGCTCATATTCATTGTGAGGGCTTCCTAATGATCTACTGAATTAAGGGACCACAATTCATGTAATATTTTCCCATTTTTGAACATTCAGGATTTTCCAGGGTTTTTAAAATAGGAACAATTAATAACTTTTTCATTTTTGGCATGCTAAATTATTTATAGGAAATGTGCATATGTCTAACCTCTCAGTAATGTTACAATTCAGCAATACTACATATGTGTGTGCATGTATATAGTGTATATAAACATTTATGTATGTGTGTATATTTATGCACATATGCGTATATATACATATATATGTGTGTATATGAAATGTTTCTTATTTGTTTTTTAAGCACATTTCTAATATAATTGATTTCAAATAAAGACATTTTAGCTCTACAGTATCGTGGCATTATAGTACTCTATTGATTGAGAAACACTGGCTTTTGGATGCATAGTTGGTCAACCAATAAAAACTACTTTTCTGAGTTGGATTAAGCTATAGTTTGCTTCCTGAAGTTGCGATTTCAACTCACCAGCCAACAAGTCAGCCTCTCGTCTTCCTGCTTCATAACCAACTCCCCAGCCCCTCTGAACGTGCCCTCTCCCTGCTCTGTTTTCACAGACGTTTTCTAGAGGTTAATAAGTGGATACTTAGCTTTAAGTAGGTACAGGAACTTGCACTTTCAATTCCTGTCCTTGGTGTGTGTCCACGTGTACATGTAACCCGTTCCTGATGGTAGTGGGACACACACACGGTGGGGACCTTGGTGCAGACTGCATGCATTATGGATGTGCCCCTGTCCCCAAGGTCTGCTGCAGTGGCCCTTGGGGGCGGGGCCCAACTCTATCCACTCTGCGATGCATGGTATATAATCATGACCTTATAATCAACGTCCTAAGTGCCAAGAGCCCCAGGTGATGGCAGATGAACTGTCCCCTCCCCCATCCCGTCTGCTCCCTTTCCCATTCAACAAACAAACAAATAAACAAGGGAGAAAAAAAAAAAAAAACACACTCCAAACACTGGAAAGCAGCAGGCCAAAGCTCTTCTGCTTCAATGTTGGGAGAAAAGTGGCTGCTGAGGCTGGTCAGGGTGCTGGTCAGGAACCCGGCCCTGGCCCTGTGCCTGGCTGGCCTGAAGTCCTCACTGCGTTCCCAAGAATGCCACAGGCAGGCCCCCAGCCCAGCAGGCTGAGGTTCCATGTGCATTTGGATAAGATTTAATGTCTTCCAGTTGGTTCACTTATGCATTTGCAAAAATACTACTCTATTGGTGCCCTTTGAGAAAAATTCTATAACCGCTTTTGCTAAGTCTACTGTTTATTTGGTGAGAAATGACAGGCATTGCTAACTTCAAAATAAAATTATCTAAAATTTTAAGAATCCATTTTGCTCATTACTCTTGAGGAAATATCGGGAGTTACTCTCTAAATAGGCAGTATTCATTTTTTCTGGAAGGTCTCCTACGCGGTATCTAGTGGTGATTCTAAATCATATTACTAAAAGAATAGGGTTTGCCTCTTTCAAGGGGAGGGACACAGAGGAGCCCTTGGGGGGCTGCACGAGGCCACTAGACGTTTCGCACCATCCCTTTAGGTCCGAGTGTGCACATTGATGCTAACTCACCCACAAGCAGGTGTCTAATGAGAACAGCTGATTCATTTAATGAAGGCTCCCAAGGCCTGGGTCTGACCTCAGGCAAGCAGTTCCCCGTTCTGGCCCTGAGGTCAGTTACCTGGAGCGAGGCTCTCTGGGTTGGGAGGGCTCCGCGGATCCGGGGTGTTGGGAGGCGTCAGGGGGGCCTGCTGGGAGCCCCCTTCCAGGATGCTCCCATCCAGCTTCCCGTTCTGCATAGCGAGGCTGTGCTGCGTGGATGAAAGAAGAGTCTGTTGAGAACGCTCAAATGCGGGTCACCCTCCCTGGCACGGCGGAGCTTAGCACAGGCCATTGCTCCTGAGCATCTCCTGTGCCCGACCCAGACCTGCCTGTAACGAGCCCTGCTGTGCGCCAGGTCTGCCCCTGGGGCTTCACGTCCATCACTCAAGTTCAGGTGGAGCCTTCCTGTGAGGCCAGTGGCCGTGATTCCTGATGGACACTAGTTGAATGATGTGGAGCTCTCTGGCCAAAGACTGGGCTTAGGGTCTCTTATATTACCCTTGTATTTTGTAGCTGGGCTTTGGATTCTTTACTATGTAAAAATTTAAATTTTAATATGAAATTTGAATAGTAGTTGCACATACCAAGTCCTCCCCCCGCCAACAGAAGGAACAGTCACACTATAAATGCATGAATTTACAGAGGGAAAACTTTTAGAAAATAAAACACCTAAAAGAGATGGTTGTCTCAGGTTTTAAATGAATTATTTTGGTATTACAATTTGTATTTCTTCTATGGCAATGATATACTACCTTAAAACTTTGCATTTAAAAAGAGAAAAGCAGAAACTCTAATAGATCATGTACTCAGAAGTACAGCTGGGACTTACCCTTTCAACAAAGTATTTTCTTGATTATGTCTGAAAAGCATGCATTTTGAAAAGAGGTGCCTAAGAGCAAATCCAGAAAGAAAGATGTAGTGAAGAGCATGGCAGAGACTGACCCTGACCTTTGTTGTCTGTGAAATGTGTGGAAAACATTTACTAGCGCCTCTTCATTTCTAAGTTTATCAGATTTTGCGACACATATACCTTTACATTTTCATACTTATTTAACCTTACAGAAATTTAGTGATAAAAGTCTGTTTTGTCCTAAAATTCAAATACCACAAAGGCCATAAACTCGGCTCCTGGCCTGATCAATGGGGAAGGAAGGAAAGGTGTCCTGGCCTGCGTGCTCCAGCCGCCTGCGTACAGGTTCACCTCCACGGGGTCCGGAAGGCCTGGTTTCCCATCAATAATGGTAATCAACAGACAATCCATAGAGTGCCCCCTTGTTAGTGTTGTGCACATCCCAACATGTCACCACGCATCCCACCACCACATGCAACTGTCACGCACCAACAAACAAAGGAAAACACCAAAGGTTCTGCTCCGTCCTCTTGCGAGCTGCTTAGCTCTGGCTTGGAGCAGTGTCGGTATACAATGCGACGGTCGTGAACGGTCACCTTGGTGTCACACGGATCCTCCAACTCACTACTTGCCTGTTCTAGAACCATACACTTCCAAGAAGAGCACTATTGAGCAAGAGGAGTTCAGTTCCAGGAGGCAGGACCTAGCTGTCTCTGCCTGAGGCTGACGTACACAGCAAAACATCAACCCTGTGAGCGTCTTCAGCGCTTCAGCCCTGCACACCCACTTGCACCCCGCCTCACTCCACCAACCATCACACGGGCACTGAAGAGAGCCAAGCTGGCCTGGCACTCAGACCTGCCCATCAGGTCTCATCGCCATCGGTTCTGGAGCGTCCACCAGTCCTCCTGCTGAGAACTCCCAGGTGCGGGTCACCTGGAAGGATTCCCCGTGGCTCCGTGCACCCCCTCTGTGCATCCCCAGGGTCGGTCACTCTGTCCCTGCAGCCTCCCAGGTCTGTTCTCCTGCACTCCACCGTGTAGGTCTTGGTGTGTTTCGCTCATCACTCCTTGTCCCCTGGGAACAGGGTTCACCCATTCGCTTGCGCTGTTCAGGGCCGCGCGTGGAGTGTTTGCTGGAAATGTAATGAGCAAATCGTGCCCCACGTGTCCCTGGGGGCTATTTAAACACAGGGCCTCCTTCCCACTTAGGTCTTGGCCACATGCCGCGTTTCACACTCTTCCTCTGGGGTCACCTACATGTCCCTGCCACTCAGGCTCTTCTGGGGTCACCTGCCTCCTGTCTGAGTCCCAGGAGCGCTGCTCCCTCAGGGGGCCTGGGCGAGGTGCTTCCGAGCGCGGCCTGAGTCCTTCCTACAGGCTGCTCCCTGCTGGCGACCAGTGAAAGGCAGAGTGGCCAGTCCCAGGTCCTCCCACCCTTCCCTGGCGGTCTGCAGCACTCTCCTGGGTCTGCTCCCTGCCTGCAGACTCCCCTCCTTCCCAGCTGCTTCCTCCCATCTCTTCTCAGTCATCCCACGCCCCAAGTTCCGCCGGAGGCTGTCTCCAAGCCTCCGCCTTCCGTCTGACCATCCTCACCCCCAGGCCACTCCACACCAGCTCAGCACAGCGTTTTGTTCCTGCATCTGTGTCACCTGTGTCACGTTGGGTCCCCAACTGGTCCATAGTCTGGTTTGAATCTAACAGAGCCCAGTCATTATTTTTCCTTTGCTCTATGATAAAGTTTCGCTTAAACACGACTTTTGATAATCAATTGCTAAAGGCAAAGCGCTGTCACATACACACATACACACAACGCTTTGCAGTTTGAGTTTAGATCCTGAGTGTTCAGCTTAATTGACTAGTTTTTTTTTTTTTTAACTTCTGAATCTATAATACCCATTAAAGTGGAAAGTTCAGGCCAACTTTTAAATAAAAGCACAGCTGAGGTGAATACGGGACACTCCAATGCACAGTGGAGAGGTGAGCGCCTTCTCTGACCACCAGTGATCTCCTAGGGTACAGGTCTAACCTTCTCCCCTCCCCGGGGACTGACAGTGGACAGGAAGTCACTCACCTCTCCCCATCAGTCCCTGTTATCAGGAGATGCCTGGACCCCACTGCCACTGCTACACCCAAGGGAGAGCCTCTACGGTCAGGAGGGACCGCCTCAGCTAGCCCCGGCCTCACACTACAGCATCCCAGGTCATCTGTGGTTCCCTGCACAAGAGCTGGACACAGGAAAATGCATCTCTCTATGTCTTAGGTAAGCTGACCGTGGACAATTTAAAGCTGAAAGTGCATCTTATAAGTCACAAACTTGTAAGGTTTATTTTTGGCACTGGGTATTGAATCCAGGGATGCTTCACCACAGAGCCACACCCCAGCCCTTTTTATTTTTTATTTTGACACAGGACCTTGCTAAGTTGCTGAGGTTGGCCTTGAACTTGCAACCCTCCTGCCTCAGCTTTCTGAGTCCTGGGATTACAGGCGCGTGTTACCACATCCAGCATAAGCATGTGACTTAAAATGTGACATGGTGTCTGTTAAAATATCATTGGGAAAAAGTGGGATTCTTTTGGGTGTGTTCTGTACTTTGTGCCAAATACATAGAAGTCATTTTTTGAACAAAATGAATATATATTCAGAATCCCAGTTTATGTAGTAGGGTCTCATTTCAAAATGACTTTTCATGGTGTGCTGGCATTTCTCAAGAGTCCTGGAGATCAGGAGATGTCGGAAACAGAGGGAAGGTCTTCATCTGACTCACCCTCTGTCTCGTGGCCTGGTGCTGTTTTCCTCGTGTTCTTCCCGTGCCTTAGTCCAAGAAGTAAGGCAGTTCAAAACGGGCTCAGGCAGCCTGCGGTGTTTCTCCACTTCTTTTCACAAACACACATTTCCTGTATTTATTATTTGTATCCCAGAAAGTAAATGTGGTTTGAATTTGCCAGTGGCCCTCAGTAGGAGCATAAGCTCAAAGCTGAATTCATGCCTTTTGTTTTTAAAATAATATTTGCTGTTTGAATAAATAGAATTGATTGTGAAGGATTTGATTTGGATTTTCAACAGTGTGAGGTCCTAAACGTCATACTAAAATAGGGTCACAGGGGTGATAATTAGATCATGATTTTGACAATACTATAGCTCAAGGGAAGCATAAAGTGTGTTCCAGAAAGTGGTTGATACATTAGACTGACATGTGTGACATACAAAGATGGTTCAAGGACCGATCGCAAGCTCACAGTTACTTTCTGTCAGTGGTATTTGGTTTCTTCCTTACTAGATGGAAGCTGTGTTTACTTTGTTTAATTAATTAATTAGTATCATTACTTTTGTAAGGGGGATTGAACCCCAGGGTACTTTACCACTGAGCCACACCCTCAAACCTTTGTATATTTTTATTTTGATACAGGGTCTTGCTAAGTTGCATAGGTCCTTGCTAAGTTGCTGAGACTTTCCTTGAACTTGTGATCCTCCTGCCTCAGCCTCCCGAGCCGCAGGGATCCCAGGTTTGGGCCACTGTGCCCAGCTATCTATCTGTGCTTGAACTCCCCACATAGTACCTAGAACGTAGCAGGGGCTCTGTAGATGTTGGCCCCAGTGTAAATGGATAAGTGGGGCTTGATCTGGAGGAACACAGCTGTCAGCACACCCGTGGCATTTTTGAAGGTGCCCCCAGTCGCCACTGCACCTGAGGAACACTCACCCTGGGAAGTGGCTGGTGTCTGTCTGTTTAGGGTACCCACAGGTCTCACGCAAGGTCAGAGGCCGCGCATTGTTCCTGTCAGAAGGCATCTTAGGGAGCGGTTTCCTCATTTTACAGATGAGGAAACAAATCCAGAAAGGCAAAGAAACTTCAAATTAACTGCAGATCACAGGCCGGTGGCAGAGGCAGGAGGGCCGCCTGCTCCAGGCAAGGCTGAGCCCTGGGAGCTGGCCTTCAGGCTTCAGAGCTTCCCAAATGACACTCTCATCATTCCTAGAGAGAGTCCCTCTCATCAGATTCTAAGTGGGTTCCTCAATTCAGTGCAAAGGGACTCTGGGCTGCTGACTGCGGAGTTATTTACCAGCATTTGGTTGCTTATTTCAGCCTCTTTGGGGCCGTTGTATCCAACAGTGCCCAGTTTTCTAGGAAGAGCGATGATTTCTCACAGCGTGTCCCGATTTTGGGCGTCCAGAACACTGCCCCTGGAGCCAATGCAGATGCTGGTGACCAGAGTACATGGGCCCAGAGGGAACTTTCCTGTCTCGTGGCCCCTTCCTCCAGACCTGTGGTCAGCACACCGTCCGTGGAGATCAGGAGGAAGTTAAGCAGACTGGCGTTGTTCCTTCTCCAGATGCCTAATGTCCAGGCCATTTTTCAAGGTGTTCCTAAGGCACCTTATTATTCCACCAAGTCTCCTCATGAACGCAGGCGATTCCTAACCGGGCTCTAAGGTGGAATGGGGGTCCCTCTTCAGCACTCACAGTGTGAGCACAGGCACTTTCTGACGGGAGGACACTGTGCATTGTCCCAGTGGACGTGGCGTCACGTGGCTCTGTCAGCCCATCAAGTGGTCCTTCGCAACTGGTATGCTGCAGTTGGGCATGACTTGAAGTCCACTGGAACTCACAACCAAGTTGGGTTGAATCCAAGCTTGCTGAAGAGTGCTCATTAATGTGAAAAACATCTCGTTACCATCGTGTGTTTCTGTGCGGTGCTGGGGATTGAACGCAGGTCTCATTCATGCTCTACCACTGAGCTCACCCCTGGGTCCCTGGTCCCTCACCCCTGGGTAAATTAAATTTTTAATTTAAAATGTTTTAAGAACATAGCAAAGTGAAGAGAAACTTGAGGAATTAATGAGATGTGGTTTATGGGTATAGATAGTGCATTCTATATTTGTTTTAGTAATTCTGGTAAAAGAACCTAGTAGATCAGTCTGCTCAAAACAAGTGGCCATCCATCCACAACCTGCTGGAGAGGAAGGTGGGAGCATTCATAAATCTGCAGGTGGACAGCAGACCTTCCCAACTCTGGAAGGAGACTACCACAGGAAGTGTCCAGGTTAAGTCTTCAGGTAGACTGCAGCCCTTCCGTCTCCAGGTGACTTAGCACAGGTGGTATTCAGGTAAGCCAGCAGGTAGACTGCAGACCCCCAGCTCCAGGAGGAGACCTAGCACAGGTGGTATCCAGGTAAGCCAGCAGGTAGACTGCAGACCCCCAGCTCCAGGAGGAGACCTAGCACAGGTGGTATCCAGGTAAGCCAGCAGGTAGACTGCAGACCCCCAGCTCCAGGAGACCTAGCCAGGGAGCACCTTTGTTGTGGTCCCCACTGTCCCTCCCACGGTTTCTCTGACTCTTTGTGCCTGGTAGTTGAGAGTTCCTTCCTCAGCAATTGCTCTAATGGCGTGTCGGGGACGATAGTGTCGCCACAATAGGTAAGGCAGGGCTGCATTAGTTAATTTGTTATCAGCTTTCAGCTGGGCAAACCTTTGTCTAGAGTTGTGTTGGCTGTGGTTTTGTCACTGACTGGCACCAAGCTTCCCTACAGGATGTGGACAAGTGCTGAGAGTAGCCCTGGGTCGGTGGCTCCCAGAGTCTTGGGGGCAGGGGTAGGGCATTTAGCCAGACTGTGCTTGTCCTCGCTTTGGGGATCACTGTGTGCTTGGAATGTGTTTGCATCCCAAACATTCAACTGGTGGCGATAAGACCCTGGAAACTTTTAGCCCTGCTTCTCCCCACTCCCTCACCCTTGCTTTGCCGAAAGAAACGAGCTCCTGGTGCCAAGTCTGCAGGTCACAATGTCCCTATTGAACCCAAGCTTGCTCACACCACATATAATGCTTCTTTTGTTTCTCCACCTAAGGTATTCATTACCACAAAAAACAACGTCTCACAGATTCAACTGGAAGAAAGTATGTGGAGCAACCTGTTTGGGAGTCTAGTGAGGCAGTCACACGTGGCCCACTGGTTTAGACAGCAGCGTCAGTTATACCTACGTTTCTTTGTACTTTAGTTTCGTACTGGAAGTTCTCAAACGTGTACTTGTCAGACCTTCTCTGACGCATCTTAAACAGCCTGGCGCCGCGATTGCCGAGGTGGGATAACTCCTCCACCATGATGTCTCTGGGGACGCTGACCTTCTTGCCCAGGTCCATGCTGCCTGCATCTGCAACACAAGGTGCACATGCATGAAAACCTGCAGGGAGTGTCCCTGCTCTGGGCTCTAGAGCCACGCCTGCTGCTGCCCGGGACCGAGGTGCGGCTCTGCAATGGCAGCCCTGGGGAAACCCTGCCCGGCTCCTGACTACCTGCACGAGTCCGGGTGCGTCACTAACTTTCTCACCTCTGAAGTGTGGCTAGTGATAGTGATGATGAGTTCTCAAAGGCTTGATATGAGAAGGGAACGGGAGGCTTCCTGCAAGCCCTGGTGTGGGGCTGGCCAGCAGAGTGGGTGGAGCAGAGCGCGTGTCCTTGCTGCAGGCACAGTGTGGCCTTGTCATATGGGGTGCTCTGACAGTGCCCTTCACAGCTGTCCTAACAGGCCGTTTTTCTCCCCGCCCCCCTGTGTTTTTGTGCCAGCTCCAGCCGTGCCAAGCCCACTGGGGGCTCCCAGAGCAGCTCCCGGTCACCTCTGGGAGCTCCTCCCCTGGAGTCTCCTCTGCAGTTGTCCCTGCCTTGCACGTTCCCATGACACAGAATCCCTCTATGGTCTGAGCGCTCTCTAGGTTTCAGTGCTGTGTCCTCAGTATCTCTAGGGTGTAGTGCTGTGTCCTTAGTAAACGAGTGTCAGTCCCAGCTCTAATAAGCTTTTCCTACATCCAAAGACATTGAACTCTTCCACCTGCTTCTTGAGTCAGGAGCACAGTTTGGCACAGCCGACTGCAGGCTGCTATTTAAGGCACAGGAAGAAAAATTATTTTGTTGAAGCAACGTCGTCAGATGGTGAGACACATAGACCTTGATTCTGAGGTCTTCGGTAGTGCTTAGGGTGAGACAACAGACTTATTTATTAGATATGCCCCATTTTGCTTTGAAAAAGCTACTTTATATTTTGAGACCCCATTGAGGAGCGCTCCACCAGTTATGAGAGTCATAATAATATTAGGACTTCTACTTCTGGGAAGGTGGAGATGCCTTTCCCAGCCCGTCTGGAAGGCCTACTGACAGCTGAGATGTTGCAGATAAAGCACTACACACCATGAAGCACGGAGGGGAGGCAGCTGTGCCGGGCGGGACCGGGAGGGGCAGGGGTGGATTCTCTGTGTTTTTCTAGCCCCAACCACCTGGGCCCTGCAGCTGAGGTCAGAGAGCCTTCGCACCAGCCCAGGGCTAGGAGGTGTTAGAGTCTGTAAACAAGTCAAGATGGCGCCTGGCATTTTGCAGAGGGAGTGGTTTGTGAAGTAACGCCAGCAAGCCATTAAGTGTGGAGATTCCTGATTGGTTGACTGCTGTATCTAGTTTATGCTAATTAGATAAGCTGTGTGGAATGTATAAATACCCCTCCTGTCCTACAACAAACGGCTCCCACTTCTGCTGTATCAATCTACACAAGCTGCTCATCACCCCCTGGTTATTCTGCTGCAGCTGGACTGCGGCAAGGAGGAAGAGGACTTAGCAAGGCAACGGGACACTGTAACAAAGGCCTCTCTCAGTAACGCACCAGGAGACCCTGACCTCACCCTCCAGGGCCAGCATGTCCACAAGGAGAGCCAGAGTTTTGTTCTGAAATCAGGAGGCTGAGCTGACGCTGGGACAGTCCTCACGGCCAGTACCACACTCTGCCTCCCTGTGATGTGTGCAGACTGTGAGAGCCCACCCTCCATCCGCCCGGACGTAATGAGGAGACCTGAGCTGGAGTCGGCCCAAGCAGGGAGCCCCAGCTCCCACCCGACCCTGTGCAACCAGCCCCTCTCACAGTGAAAACAGAAGAAAGGGCAGTGCCCTTGCATCCCCAGGGAGGGCAGGAAGAGCCTGCAGAAGAGGAGCAGGGCCAAGCGGGAGAGCCAGGGCATCACCCCTTCCTGGGGTGTGGCCAGCGTTGAGCTCCACAGGGAGCACACACTCACCCTGAAGTCTCTGCGTGTGCAGCAGAGCGCGGGGAGCTGCTCCGTGTCTGCAAACCCCTGAAAAACTGGGCAGCAATACAGAAATGGGCCATTTCAATATTTAGTTCTAGAGTCAAAATAGCAAGTGTCCTTTAGATTTAAAATATGATAAAAAAGGAAAGAGATGGTATTCCTGAATTAGTTTGTTGTAAAACCAAGAGAAAGGGGAATCTGTCTCCAAGTGCGTCTGAAAAGGACCCAGTTAGCAGAGAAAGAACAGGACACTAATATGGAAAATCAAAGTCCAGGCTTTGCCAATCCAGCCTTTTCTAGAACTACGCACTCTGTCGTGGGATTACCTATTACAAATAATGCTTTGGGGGCTGGGGCTGTGGCTCAGTGGCAGAGCGCTTGCCTGGCACATGTAAGGCACTGGGTTTGATCCTCAGAACCACATTAAAAATAAATAAATAAAATGAAGGTATTGTGTCCATCTATAGCTAAAAAAAAATTTTAAAAAATAATCATGCTTTTAAACAAAATTAAGATTTTCCTGAGAAACCTTCCCAACAGGATATTCTCAGAAACTAGCCAACACTCCAAGAAGCAGCCGCCAGGGACACAGAGGTTGAGTCGGTCCTCCCGGGCAGGCCTGCCTCCTCACACCGGGCCTCCGACCTCAACAAGAGGCCAGAGCAGGCCCTACTTCCGCTGGCTCCATCCCCTGCTGCTGCCATGGAGCAACATGAAGGACAGCGTGCAGGAGAGTGGTTCCGGGTGTTGCTGGTGGAATAAGTTTGACTCTCGAGGGCCATGAGACAGAAGCCAGAGGTGTGTCTATCAATTCCCTCTTCCAACAGCCCTGTCGTGGTCACACCACCAGTGCTTCTAAGAGGACCTTGTGACCTAGGTGATCACCACCACCTGGCCCTGGAGGTCGACGACAGTCTCCGGGCCACTGTGGATGGAGGCGGGGACGCGACCTGGGAGGACAGGAGCCAGCAGGGTGCTTTGCTGGCAGATGTGCCAGGGCTGCTCTGCCTGCCGAGGGGATCAGACTGTGCAGGCACCACTGGCGAGTCCTGGTAGAACGTGGGGCCAGGCTCTGCACCAAGCCCACCCCAAGGCCTGTGGACCTCCTGGGAACCTCCCCCGTGCCACCAGGGGACTCGCTCTGGTCTTGTGCTGCGCTCAGCAGGCCCAGTTTCTGCCTGGCTCCTCTCACTGACTGAGGTCTAAAATGCAGATTGAGGCTAGAGTCCCAGCAAGGGTGAGACCCAGAAGCCAGGGAGGGGGGTCCTCAAAGGGGAAGAGGAGCAGACAGAAGAGGAATTTGAGATCGCATTTACCCCCATGGCCTGCACCTTTGAGTCCATAGGAAAGTCACTCCTCTCTGGCAGTGTGCCGATGTCACTCATGCTACCGTGGGAGGAAAGGTACCACGGGAGCCACAGGGAGGGCACCTGGAGAAAGGAGCCGCTGTCAAGGCCCGTGTCTGTGACAATCTCTGCACCGGAGAGGAGAAGCAGGCAGAAAGGAGGAGGAGGAGTCACGCTAAGGACTGACTGCCCACTCTTCTTATTAATCAGGCCACCCCCTCCTTGACCCTTCTGCCTCCTGCTCCAGCGTCCACCAGGTCTGGCAGGCGTTTGCACGTCTTGGGTCAGAAGCACTGGAAGATGCACACAGGAACATGTGGAACCAGTGCTGGTTCGCAGGCGTCCACGGACGACGGTCGAGGGATCTGTGAGCCAGTGTCACTCACCGTGCACACAGCGGTATTAAAATTAAATTATGTGAGCATAACAATTAAACAAATTCCATCAAGAACAAGCAGTAGGTGGCTTGTGGCTCAACAGTAGAGTGCTCGCCTAGCATGTGCTGGGTTCAATCCTCAGCACCATATAAAAATAAATTTAAAAAATAAAGGTACTGAAACTTCAACTAAAAAATAAATATTAAAAATAAAGAACAAGCAGTAATAAACAGTATCATCTCAGGATTCTTCTGCCACTTTTTCCAAGAGGGAAGCTCGTGGGATGACTTACGTCTATTGCATCTGCCTGGGGAAGCAGGTGTTTGCTCTGCTGTTGTGCAGCAGGGGATACTAGAGTGAGCCAGTGTCCCCTGAACCCACATCTGCATGTGCTGCGTCTTTGATGGCAGCTTGAGTTAGACACGAGGAGTATTCACACCACAGAATCTGCACAACTGCACACATCAAGGTATTTTCTGCCAGACACTCAGCTGTTAAATATTGGCAGCACAGAGTTGGACACAGCATGAATGCTGGGTATGTGTTGAGTCAACACAGTGAAAGGCAAGCAACACAATCAACCTGCCGAGGTTGTCCTCTTTCCCTTCCTGGATCTGGAACGGCCGCCGGATGGATATCTAGGACCACCGTGGGCTGGGAAGGAGGACCTCTCACTCACTCCTCCAAAGTCAAAGGCACAGTGCCAGGAAGGTCTGGGGCTGCAGCCCTCGGTCACACATGTGACTCTCCAACTGTGGGAGGGCCACTGTGTGCTGGGGATCCAGGCCTGTCCCTCCTGTCACTCCTCCACCTTCACCTTCAGGGGACAGGGCCACTGTGTGCTGGGATCCAGGTCTGTCCCTCCTGTCACTCCTCCACCTTCCAGGGGACAGGGTCACTGTGTGCTGGGATCCAGGCCTGTCCCTCCTGTCACTCCTCCACCTTCACCTTCAGGGGACAGGGCCACTGTGTGCTGGGATCCAGGTCTGTCCCTCCTGTCACTCACTGCCCCACCCTCCCAGGGGACAGGGTCACTGTGTGCTGGGGATCCAGGTCTGTCCCTCCTGTCACTCCTCCACCTTCACCTTCAGGGGACAGGGCC